CCTCGTTTTGAGTCAGCTCGAAAAATAAAGTAACCGTCTATCGAGATCTCCGCGTCGGAGACATCTGGTGTGAGCCAGGTCTCTGTGAGTGCGATTATGGACGGTTTTTCAAGCCAAGCTGACTGTCTAACATCGCCGAGTTTGTTGAAAAGGCTGAGGCAGTTTGTGTACAAGCATTTCAACACTGCCTCTTCTTCCTCCGAGGGTGAGGGAGGATTAGCATAAAAAATTGTCTGGTGGTGCTTTGAACGGGGTTCTAGAAGGATCGTGGACAACTACCAGAGGAGGGTCATTCCACGCAGGTACTACCAGAAATGAGAAAAACATTTTGCCTGATGAATGTGTGCGCTCTGAGCTTGAAAATCCTCTCACTGAGTCCCCACCGTGTGCTTGCCGGGTCAACGGTGATAAACCTGTTGGCCAAGCTTTGTTCAAACAGGGCATAAGCAAGAATTAGGTCCCCTTGGAGGCGACGATACTCCAGGGGAAGGAGATCAGGCATCGCGAGACGCGTTTCATAGTCCACGGATTTGGGGTCGGCGACCATTTTCGTAGCGGCTCGCGGGACACGCTAAATGAGGGTGACGTCCTTTGTGCGTCTTGAGTAGACGACTTGGTTGGCGTATTCCAGGAACGGTCTGCCGTAGGCCCCATAAATCATTTGGAGGTCCATGCGAGTGATGCCGGAGAAGGTGCCTCGGATCACCCGTCAATTGGCGAATGCTTTTTGGGCTGATTTATCATGGTGCAGTGAGAAGGACAAGTTTGAGGAGACCCAGATGCCTAAATCTTTTTTGGCATCTATCCTCATGATGTTTCCTGGTCCCTTTTCACCATGCATAACGAAGGCATTCGCTGAATCCCCTCCGAACGACACATGGACGCACTTTTCATCATTCAGAGGAAGGTGCCAGTCCAACGACCACTGTTTGGCAGCGTCTACATCCATTTGGAGGGCACTGGCATTGGAACTCCAGGATTTCACGTCGTCCGCAAAAAGTAGACATTGACTTTCAAGAATATCAGGAGGACATTGACGTGGATCAGAAACAGCACTGGGCCCAGAACGGAGCCTTGAGGGACTCCAATGGAGACCGGCGGTGGGGAAGAGTAGGTCGAGCCTATTCTCACACCGAATGATCTGTCATGTAGGAACGCCTTGATTCAGCGAAAAATTTCTCCTTGATACCCGAAGACTTGAGTTTGTGAAGCAGCGGAACGTGTGGGACCCTATCAAATGCTTTGGAGAAGTTTATCATATGGCATCCAATATGATTTTTTCACGCAAGAACGGTTTGGGAGAAATTCGCGTCGAGCTGGAGATACCAGGTTGCTGGAAGCAAGGCGATCCAGGATAGCTCGCTTCAGAATGCGTTCCATCACCTTGCACGGCACGCTAGTGAGGCCATATTAAGGGGATCAGTGGAACGTTGTCGCTATTAACGGATGTGGCTTCAGACTTTTGGTTAAGCAGTAGCACTCCTTCAGTGCCTGGACATGGCAATTTGAATAGATAAACCAAATGCATTTGATTTGTTATTGGCTTTTGTTATTGTTTCTCAGTTGTCATTATCTACCCCCTGGTTTTCTTTTTATTTGTGTCCACTGGCTTAGAAAACTGTCTATTAACATTCATTGTGACCCACCACAGTTTTCTGACCAAGTCCAAAATATTGCTGGCTTGGAATTAATTCTGCAGCCTATATCCCCACCCTGGGGCGGCGTCAGGGGTGTATGCGGCCCCGCTCGTGATTCCAGTCCCATAAAATTAACCTTCAAACTTTCCCACTCTCGGTTGTGTACACATTATGGCTCAAGCTGAGTCTTCTTGGGTGTCAGTAACCACTAATAGGGCTCGTCTGCCGCTAGCCACGGTCCCGATGCAGGTGTATTCCTTTAAAACCTATTGTCGTGCCACATATTCCATAAATTCTTACACCAACTATTCCCCTGCGGCAATGAAGCATCGGTGTTGAACACTCATGCTGTCGATGATGATGATGATAATGACGATGGTCAACCCAACCCCCTTTCTCAACGTCGGTTGAGGGAGTACTTAATTTTCCTCTGTAAACTTTCTATGATAGGTGGTACCACAAA